AGGAATGCAAAAATGTTTCCTGTGACTTCTGTGATTGATGTGTTCAGTTCGGAGCTCTTTGCAACGAGAGTAACACAGCTCTGGGTTTTGTCGTGAATAGTTTAAACCTTTATTTGCATAATTCATGAAATTGCATTACATACAACTTCGTGTGAAAGAGAGCCCGTTAGAGAACTTCTGCAGCATTTAATAATCTTGTGAATATTTACCGATTGGCATTTTGTACTGCTGGCTCTCCTCTACAGTTTTAATGAGCCGCTGGCTTTGCTTTGTTTCATTCCCTCCGTAAGGATTTGTTGACATGTCGTAGTAGTCATGCCTGTTTGGGGGAAGGGAATGAGTTTAGCAGTTTACCAAGAATGGATCAGTCATGTCTTTGCCCTCCAAGAGGTCGGAGGTCGCTTGACTCAGAATAGGGGGAGGGCAACCTTGAAGGGGGCAGATAGGGTTATTTTATTGAGAGGCCATAGGGAAAATAACCCTTTTGAGTCCTTCCAAGCAAAACGTTTTCGTATATTTAATGAGGCCTTTTTTGTTTGTTTTACTACGTTTTTAGCAAGGGACTTTCCTATGCTTCTGCTTATAAATAGGAATTAGTGAATTACACGCTTTCATAAAGTTTTCCGTAAATTTGCAGAATAATGTGTGCTTGTTAGATGGCAGCGGTAAGTTTAATACGTTATATATTTTATGAGTTGTTTTGGGATGCAAAGTGTTAAAAAAATACAGAGCATCAGGATTTGCTGTGATAAGCATACAGATTAGCTGTCCACAGCTGTGATTCATTACTTTCACCGTAGAAATTAAAAGTGGCTGAGGGGAGGGTACTGCAAATGCAAACCACGCTTCTGTGCTGTAAAACTGAAAGGAATGAAAGAAGTGAACATAATCCATGGCCTGGTACAGCCTCAGAAATGTGTAAGGACAACACCTTACATGCTACAGTTCAGCAATCTTAAACTAGTTACGTATTCACTCTTCAGCAGTAACTACAGATAGAAGTTGAGATTTAAGGTATTTTTAAAATATCTACATCAGCTTTAAAACTCTTATCTGAGAAGAGTCGATTTATCAGCTGTGAAATATTTACACTGCAGATCAAGATCTCGGAGATAATAGCCGCAGCCTTGTTGGCAGAGGAGGTTCACCCAGAGGAAGTCTCTCACCACGGTAAGCATTATTTACATTGGAGAGTGCAGGCAGAGGAAATGTTTTAAGATTTGGAAACTTCAGTCTTTTTACTAGTAATACATAAGTGTTTTACAAGCCTATATATATATGTAGGTGTATATGTATATAGACATGTATACATACATTTATTTTTATATAAATATATCCATCTAAAAAAAACCCCTAATATCTCCAGATAGTTAAGAATGTGCTGAAATTTACTTTTATATCAACCAAAATTAGGTTTACAAATGAAGGACGTTACTTAAGAAATTTAGACTTGCTTTAGAGGGATTTACCTATCATTTAATCCACATGTACTAATTATCTCCTCAAATTTGTTACCGTAATAGTATTTTTCGTCGTATTTGCAAAAATTCAAAAATCCCATAGACTTAGAGGCTACAATGATCACAGGGATAAAGTGGTCTGAGAAGTTAAATACCAGTAAAAATTTCAAACAAATACTTTCTTCCCTTTCCCTCACCGCTTCAAAATATGCAGCAATTCTCTGTTCTGCTGCAGTTTACCTCTACTACGGAAGTTTGACATAAGAATTCTGCTGGAATTGTATCACATTATTTTGTTTTAAAATACTTGCTCTTAAAATTTCAGTATTGTGTTTTAAATACTTCAGTAATATTTTCTGTGTATTTTAAATGTATCTTTGTTTTTAAAGGGCTTTATTTTCTGTACTGGATACATATGAATTAGATTTTTATAGTGTTATTACTTTTTTTTTTTTTTTTTTTTTTTTTACTTAGGGACTAACCATGGGGGTTTTATCTTGAAAAGGATTTTAGGATAGCTAAAAAATGGTCGTTACACAGATACAGCATTGTAACAATGAATGTGATTCTTACAGCATGTGTTTATTACAGTAATTTATAATAAATATCTCCAAATTAGATAACTTAATGTACATGCCTGGTGTTGTTGATCTTGTATTATATTCCTTAATTAATCAAAAGAATCCTTGTCAAATGGGGTGAGAATATTCATTGTAATCCTTAGGTGTTATTACCTAGTCATGAACTGGCTTTTAAGCTTTCCGATACGTGTTGCTTCTAGAACAATAAATAGAGATTTCACAAATTAGTTTAGACGGTGTTCTCAGTATAAATACATATATAAATCTTTCTGTAAATAAGGAACGTGCCTGTATATATACAGACAAGTAAGTTAGGAGAATTTTGCAGAGGGAAATGCTCAACAACTAGGAAATTCAAGAACTTTTGATCATATATTAAGTAGACCTCTTATGCATATGTGTTGTGGTAATTACAGGTTTTAATGCCACCTTAGTTAATATGCAAAGGCCCGGTCTTTGTCTGATTTGCAGTAGCCCATAGTTGTGTTCAGGCTGTCTTCAGGTAGAATATTTGGGAAGCTAAACTTCTTAAATATGATGCTTCTACAAAGTGTATATTCAGGGTATATACAGTGCAGCACTTACAACATGGTCAAATTTCAGCTGGTTTTGGTGGGGATTGCAAAGGAGGAGAACTGTATGATAACAAAGGCCACCTCTGTCCAGAACTGCAGAGCTTCCTTCAACGTATGGAAGCTGTATCACTTTGCAAAGAGCAGATAGCTTTTGCTTGGCAGCAGAGTTTTTCAAAAACAAGCAAAAAAAAGGGGCGGGGGGGCGGGAATCACTGCTGTAGTTCCAAAACTGAAAGATGGAAAAACTTAGTCTGAAATACGTAGCATGGAAAAAATTTAGAAAACTTATCCTTCAATTAAGTTCAGTAGTCAGCAAATTTCACCCCTGGTTGTGCGACAATAAAGATCACGCGTATGTTGAAGTTTCTAAAATGTGTAGGTAACTTCCCGCCTTCCCCAGTTAAATAAATAAGTCTGATTGCTTAAAATACAGCTCAGAGTAAATAAAAAGCGAACTTCAAAAATATGCTATCTGAAAACTTTGCAACCTTGAATGTTACCTGCTTTATCTATTAAAATTATTTTTCTGCAACTTCTGACTCTCTTCCATTTTGAGGTGTATGAGATCATAAATACCACACTTCTCCGAAAAAAACAAGCTCAAATAGTTGCTTAAAATAAAAACACTTGCAGAAACAATAATTTGCTGTTGATGAAAACGATTGCTTTTTGGAGATGTATGTGACTCATGAGCTGTATGGTCATTTCAAATTCATATTGTTATGTCTTTGTACACCTATATAACCACAGTGTTTGATGTTTAAGCTGTCATATTTAAAGTTTTAATATATATGAGAAATATAAATATACCTGGTATATGTGAGCTATTTCCATTTTGCAAAGGAATTGCTGCTTTTCCCAAGGTAGCACTCAAACTTTTTTTACTCCATACTTAACCTTAGATTTAAAAACGTGTTTGTAATGCCTGCATTGAAATACGTGTGTATGCCTATATCTAAATTCAATATTGCTTACAATTAGTACTATAAGAGTATGAATAACTGTACCCCAAACTTAAACAAAAAACAGTTGTGAAAGTAAGCAAGGTATGAAACATAAAACAAGAGATTCCCATCTCAGTGACAGCATCAGACCTGTGTGTACAGCACATTTATATTCCTATTGGAAACTATGATCAAAAGCTATTTGGAATAAGGATTCAACCCTAGTATGCAGGAACCATATCATGTCTAATGGATGAGGTAGGGGTTCAGCTGGAAGAGGATGGATTGACTAATGTTGTGATACATGGAAATCTAGATATTCCCCCCCACCCCTGCCTCCTTCTCTACAGGCTTTCAGTGAAGGATTGCAGAAGTTATATAGTCATGTGTTGCTTTGTTTCTACCTTTGTGAAACTGATAGGAAACAGTCCAAAGCCCAACAAGAATTTTGTTGGTGATTTATAATTCAAATGGTGCAATCTGTTAGAGTAGCGTTATGTGCCCTTCAAAAGCATGCGTACAGAGAAAGAAGTTGCTGGGGGGCTTGTGTGGTGGTTTTCTGTATTTCTTTTCTGGTTTTTGATTTGTTTGTTGGTTTTGGATGTTTTTTTAAAAGTGCATTGTTTGTGGGGAGTGTAGTACATCTGTTCAGAATGTTTCCGCATAAACCTTCCTTCTTATCACTTCAGCACATTGTGTATACAACTGGTTTTAAGGCTGGTTTTGCCATGTCTGTGCTGAACTGTTAAATGCTGTTGAGTTGTCATCTCTTGTCAAAAAACACTACCTTGGTTACCCATTCATCAGGGCTTTTTGTTTTAACAAGTGTTTTTCTTCTTTCATCCTGTATGCAAAAGAGGAATTATTTATAAATACTTACAGAGCTCTTAAGTCACCTACTTAAAACCTTTTCTCGTAAAAATCGCTTTGCTCTGGTGCCTACAAAATGCTTGACAGTCATTAGGTAGCTAATGTGCTGTGACCACTGCTTATTACGCTAATCATAATTAACACACTGATTTCCTGAACCCTGTATGTTGCCCTATACTGGGACTATGGTGGTCTTGTTGCTAAGTTTGCACTACATGTGGAACAGTGCAGCTGTGATGGTACCAATAGTTATTACTTACAGGAATAACTAATATATGAGAATCTGAATCTGAGCCTCACTGGAGTTGATTTAAAAAGAAACCAACAAAACAAACAAAACCACCAACCAACTTTTAGTGGGTTTTGGTGTTGGTCATGTATGAGGAATGGGGCCATGCGTACATGAGGCCAGAATCCTGAGTCAGAAATACCCTGAGCATCTGGGTTTGCTCACAGTTTAAATTTTGCCCCATCCAATGCAAAAGAAGCCTTCTCACAGGACCTGAGAGGTACCCAGCTTTCTTAGTGGCTCTGCTGAATATTTAATTTTCTCCTGAATGAGAAAAGACATATGGCAAAGGGATTATTTGAACTATGTGTGATTATGAGTGAAAAAGGAACTATATTGAGTGTGCACAGGACAGCCAGAGGATAACTTTAACTTTCATTGTGTCCCTTGTGAAATAATATTTTCACATAGTCCCTCAAAAATCTGTTTTTACGTAATTCTTCTTAGAACAAGTTAGGCAGTGGAATTATACATGGCCTTTCTATGTGGAAGTACCATTACTGTGCTGATTTTAATACCTTGGTTTTATTTTCCCAGTTTTCTCTGGGAAAGTTTCGAAGATTTTTTTGTTTGTTTGTTTATTTGTTCGGGGTTTTTTCAAGACAGGTGCTCTTTGTATCCATCCATACACAATGGTTTCCTGCTGTAGAAGTATGTGTTGTATAATTTAATACAATGCTGTTTGTCAGTTAGGTATTATGTTCGTCGGTATGCAGGAAGAGGTTATGTGCTTTCTCAGTATAAATTCTCACGCTGTGAAATATTACATTTTTCTTTTATTAAAGCCTTGGCAGTGAGAACCGGGAGTTCTTTAGTGATTTTGATGAATTAACTTAGTCTTGGAAGCATTAAGATATGTAGGTACTAAGGTCTGATATAAGGTAAGAAACTTCAACAGCCTTTTACTAATACGTTTCCTTCCATCCTTTTCTTTAAATATTAAATTGCAATATTTTCAACAGATCCCCTGTAAGCAGCTTGCAGATTCGCTATGATCAATCAGGGAACAGTTGTGGGGAAAATTTGCCCCCAGTAGCAGCCAGCATAGAACAGCTTCTGGAAAGGCAATGGAGTGAAGGACAGCAGTTTTTATTAGAGCAAGGCACCCCTAGTGACAGTAAGTACTCACATTCTGTTTATTACTGCTTTTGTTAACTGCCTTATTCAGAACTGCCATTCAGTGCTTGTCCAAGAATTTAAAGAAAACTTATTTTCTGCTATGACTGGAAATATAACTGTAGTATGTAACTGTAACATAGTCCTTAATGCAGCACATGCCTTCAGTAGATTACAAAAGAATTCTCTATAATTATCTACATTTTTATGGATGGGGAAATTGTGTCATGCAAGAGGAAGTGACTTGCAGATCCAGCTGGTCGGTTGCAGAGTTTGGAAATAAATTCTGGACTCTTAGATCCACTAATGTAAATAGTACAGCACAGTTCCCCAGTTTGCTTTATACTATATGATATAAATTGGCATAATAATTTTCTATTCTTATATTTTTCATTTTTTAATTCTAATCTGTCTACTTCTGTTGCTGTTTTAAAAAAATATTTACAGATGTTAGGCAGGTGTCCCACTGGGCTTTCATACCACTACTATGTTCTGCATTTCTTGTGAAATTCTCAAAGCAAGCAAATCTTCTCAAGTTATGTTTAATAGAGTGTAATAGTCCAAGAATGAATACGTTAAAAGCATAAGTGATGAGCAGATCACTTGGATCTCCATATTCAACAATATATCAGTACCAAAGACAATGACTGAGTACATTGAAAAAAATTTTTTTTAATACCAGGTAGGGTTTTGTGTTATATTTTATTGAACATATTCTTCTTCTCATTGGTAGTGTAAAGTGGTATCTAGTTGGTATTTTTATGAATGGTATCCTGACAAAAATGCTAATTGTGAGGAAATTCATGCAGGGATAATCCTTTAAACATGATAGCTGGAGGACAGGTTTAGCTAAGTCTTATTGCATCTCATTTGGGCTCACTGAGGGTTCCTTTGTATGTTCTTGAAGAGGAGGGATAAAAGCTAAATCCTTGGGAAATGACCAGATGTGCCTATACCAGTAGACTTATGTCTGTAGTAGGCCCAGAGGTCATGTTAAACAAATACAATTTAGAATTTAAAAAAAAAAAAAGGCTATCCTTGTGGTTTTACAGTCACACTCTAGTGCTAGTTGGGAAATCCAAGTTCTGAAACCAAATCGGAGTTTGAGAAAACTGCTTGGTAAAAATCAGGTTAGTACCGAAGATGATGCCCTTTTTCTGCAAAAAAAAGGGGTGGCAACTGCAGTGCTCACACAGTGCTCCCTGCTGGGTGATTTGTAGATCGCCGCTCAAAGCAAATGAGAGCTCCTGCTCACAACAAGGTGTGTCAGGATAACTTCACGTTGGATGACTTTTTTTTTTCATTGTTTCTGTAAGTTTGTGATTCACTGTACAGGACATCAAAGCACAAAAACTCCCTTTTCACAAACTTGCTTGTCTTTACATAAATGTTGTTGGTTGGCTGTACTGTTAGTTGAATGCGTGTTTGTCAGAACTTCTGTTCTGATAATATTTAAAATTTCTAGTACTGCAGCTGAAATAGGTTTTTCTCAACTATGCAATTAACCTGTGCTACTAAAATAATACTGTTTTTATATTCTGGTTTGGGGATAAGTTACCATGTACTGCCTTCTGCTTAAAATGGATGTCAGTGCTCATGACACGACTTCATCTGTATTTAAGCCAGGGTGTAGATATATTGCAAAATTACTATCACATGCTGCATACTTTTTTCTGCACTACAAATTACACAAAATCGATCCTAAACTGTTCCACTTAAAGTCAAATTTCTGTAATGTATCTTTCAGTAATCAATTTATTTATATTTTCACATATGACTTAATGCTAGTCTTAAATTGTAATACAGAAATTTAAAAAAAATAAAGATGTTCTTCATTCTTTGTATGTGGTTGTGAAAGATAACATACACATTTTTACCTTAGTTTTAGGAATGCTTAAATCATTACACCAACTTCAGGTTGAAAATAGGCGGTTAGAAGAACAAATAAAGAATCTGACTGCTAAGAAGGAGCGGCTTCAGCTACTCAATGCCCAGCTTTCGGTGCCCTTCCCAACAATAACTTCAAATCCTAGCCCTTCTCATCAAGTACATGCCTTTCCAGTACAAGCAGGTAAGTAGAGGAGAGTATTAGAATGTCAAAGTAATTCAAACGTGTATTTATATGAAATATCTATTTCATCCACGTATGCTATTGATGGCATATACATGTAGGACGAATATAGACTAAGTATTTGTTGGTGTGTTTAAATGTTTAGAAGCCAACTGGAAGATTTATATGAACCGTTACTACTTGTTTCGGTGCAGTTTCTTTTTTACTTCAGTCTGGAGCCCGTCTGTTTGCATCTATTGATTTACCAATTATTTAGTTAATATTTTACTATTCAGCAATGATTTTAAGATTGAATTTACAGTTTTGATGTTTACCTTTGATGTTATTTTGAAATAATTATTCTAAATATTTTTTTGCATGTTACAGAAAATTAACCACTGTGTGTTTTTTGAAATAATTACTTTAGCACCTAGCACGGATTCCTTGAACAGCAGTAAAAGTCCTCATCTGGGAAACAGTTTTTTGCCAGACAATTCTCTTCCTGTATTAAATCAGGTAATTTTTATTTGTTTCTTCTAAACTTAAACTTGTTACAAGTTAACTCATCATAGTCCTTGCATTGTGCTGTTAGGTGAAATTTTATGCAGCTGAGGGGGTTTTGTTGTTTGTTTTTGCACCAGGAGATAACCTCCAGCGGACAAAGCACCAGCAGTTCATCAGCTCTTTCCACTCCACCACCTGCTGGGCAGAGTCCAGCTCAGCAAGGCTCAGGAGTCACAGGAGTTCAACAGGTCAATGGTGTGACAGTGGGGGCACTAGCTAGTGGTATGCAGACTGTAACCTCCACCATTCCTGCAGTGCCTGGTGTGGGTGGAATAATTGGAGCACTGCCAGCCAGCCAGCTGGCAATCAATGGAATTGTAGGGGCTTTAAATGGGGTAATTCAGACCCCAGCAACAATATCACAGAACCCTTCTCCTCTCACTCATGCAACTGTGCCACCCAATGCAACGCATCCTCTGCCAACTACGTTAAATAACAGGTAAGAATTTGCTGATTTTTCTTTTTCCTGATAGTGCCTACTGTTCTTCATTTAGCTGTACTTTTTGACTGTCTTATTCAAAAGGTACTGTTTCTTCCTTAGCCTGTAATTGTCAAATTAGGTTCTGCTCCTGATCCATGAATGATAGTAAGAAGGCATTTAATGGGGCACGAATAGTGAAGTTAAAGAAAAGATGTTTTCTGTTCAGCTTTTGGGAATCCTAGTGTCCATTTCTTCCTGTTTTTTTTAATCAAGTCACATTCCCAAACAAATGTAATTATGTAAATGTGCTTCAGCTCTTTTTTTTTTAAAGTTTCAGAAAACAATATTCTTTGTCCTGCCAGTTGCTCTTCCATGATTAAAGTAGCACTGGAAAAGCTACCATTTGTTGCAGTAAGAAGGGGGGAAGGGAGGAGGAGAACAGTATACGGTCATGTAATTAAAGATGTAATAGGCATAACTAACCAGAGTAGTAATACAGTTGCATGGTGTTTTCAGTTCTCTGCATCTGTGACTCCAAAGACAACAAAATTATTATTTCAACTGGTGTTCCTATGGATTTTTAAATGCATAAAGAAGATCCACGTTTGAGTATTTGTAACAGCCCTTCCCCAAAGCCCAAGTATCCTCAGTAGCATGAACTGCTGCTGCTTGAGCTGCAAGGCAAATGGGTAACAAAAGGAGAGGTTGCTTTCCAGGAAGGGGAATGGACTGCTTGGTCTGGAAGTGTTTTGGGACAGAGCAGAGACCGGGCTAACTCATTCTCCCCGCTCCCCTTCCCCCCAGAGAGCTGTGGTTCTGTGTAGAAAGAAATGGCTGCAAATTAGGGAGTGGATTACTTGTCTTTTTGGAGATGATGGTGGTTTACGCACCAAAAAAGGCATATGTGGTTGGAATGATGCAAAGGGATCCCTGGTTTTGTAGCTGCTTTTTCCAGTTTCTTACCTCACTGTTTGTTTGGCGGCTCCCGAATGTTCGTGTACAGTATCACTGTGTGGTATTGCTTCAGTAGGCTCGTAAAACCTGATGCTTCCAAGTGTATCCTGTTGTTTTGATGTGCTATCATATTTTTACTGAGGTTATATTTTCCATAGTTTATATCATATATGAACTTAATGTTTCAGACATTGAACAAAAGATATTTTGTTAATGAAAAGTTATCTTATTTATCGAGTATCAGAGGTCTGCTGAAAACACATGAATTTTGCATTACTCTCACCAAAAGTGTGAGGAGGAGTGAGAAATCCTAGACAAAATCAGTTATATTAACCAGTTGTATCATGCTTTCCACTTTCAGGTAATGCCAAAATATACCAGTCATGCTGCTGTTTTCTCATGTTTTTGTTTAATACGCAGAATATTCATTTTTGACTCTTTATATTGCAGAAGTTTTTTTCCCTTTTTTTAATATCCAACTTTACTGCTCTTGAGTGAGTAGCCTGGTAGTAGACTACTCCAGTTCATGCAGAATACTGCAGCTACTATCCTGTTCATTAGCTCTCATTCTAACTTTTCTCATAGTCTGGAATACTCCAATGATTCCCTATTTTCTGCTGCTTCAAGCTGCTTATGATGTACAACTCTGCCAGCATCTCCATTTTTCTATTTCTATTCTTGCATGATCTCTTTCTGCACTGCTCTCTCAATAATACTATTTAAAAATTCATATTAATTTTAAATTTTAAATTAATGTTTATTTTAAATTTAAAAGGGCACTTGACACATTTTTCACATAATTTCTGCTTTATTGAGCTCGTCTAGATGATTTACTGGGCCCTATTCCTTTTGAGGTGTTTCACAGTTGCCCCCACTTTCTGTGATTTTTCAGTATTTCTAGTTGTATATTTAGAGGAAAAAAGTTCAGGCCAAGCAAGCACTAATGCTAATTAGTGCTAATATGATTTTAGCACTTACATGTACATGCCTCATTCCCATTTCTTGCATTGCAAATGCTTTGGTGAAAAATATGAAAAACTTTGCTGTTACTGGAACTAAGTTGTGAAGAGGCTTTGGGATAACTTTGCATGAAGGGGGGAAAAAAAAGGTATTTCCCACTGGTTGAGATTATTGGCTCTGAAACTATATGGGAAACCGTTCATTCCGGCCACTCTTGAGTTCAATGCTGTTTCAGTGGCAACTTGTTGACTACTTCTTTAATGTCAAATTCCTCTAGGCATCACTACTCTTTGAACTGCGTAAGTGGGAGGGTTAAATGGTAACAAGCAAGGCAGGCATGGAGGTTTGCTCCCATGCTGTTGCGAGCTCTCCGTTCCTGGTTAGATTGCATGGTGGTGATCAAGGTTGGAGCTGGCTTAAATCAGTATTCCCAGGGTGATGAAAAGTCACGTGAGAACTCGGCCCTACTTTCTAACTCTTTTGTATTTTTTTTTTTTTAATTAAAAGACTTGCCAGATGTTCCTGTTAAGTTGCTACTTACAGCAACTTCTCAAGCTTCAGAATCTGTTCAGACAGTTTAATGTGAAAAATAGCTAGATTATTCACCAATAAATGAAGACTTCTTTAAGGACAATTCCTTACTCCCTTGAGCTCTTTAACAGTGGGTCATAGGGAGGTGAAAAAACACTGATCTGCACACTGCTGTGTGAGAGAGTTCCAAATTGTATATAAAAGAGCCTACATTCATTTGGCAGAGAAAAATATTCGATCCTTTTCTGGGAAAAAGATGGCCTAATACAGATTGCTAGCAACCAGGAGATTAAGTTATATTCAGGGAAAAGATAGGATTGTTTCCTTACATTCTCACAACCAGAGAAGACTGCAGGATGGAGAGTTTCAGACCGATCATATACCCTTTAATGAGAAGCTAGAAAGGATTAAATTTATGTTCCAAGCTGATCTGGTTTAGAGAAAGCTCTGTGGTGAAATCCAGTGAACTGCCTCTTCTGGGAAGCTCGGGAGCTGCAGTGTTTTGTCTTCTGCAGTTAGGTTTTGTTTGTAGAAGCTTAGATCTCAGCTGCTGGCTGAGGGTATTTTCTTACAAGTGCCAGTGTAGAGCAAGAGAGGAAGACAGAGTGGATAAAGAGAAGGGAGAACAACAGCAGAAAAAAGAAGTGTAACAGTAAAACATGATATAGGAAAAAAGAGAGAATGGGATAAAAGAATGAAAAATCAGTGGAGAAGATTCATTCCAGTAGAGAAGAATACAGAAAAAGTGAAGGAAAAAGAGAAGGAAATAATGGTAGTATTAGTCAAACTGAAGGTACTTTTTTTTTTTTGTGGTTGTTACCAATATTTTTGATACAATTGAATTTAAAGCTGTTTGAAGGAATTTTAATTAATCAATGAGTGTCATCATTTGAAAGGCAAACATATGCACAGTTCTAGCTTGAGTTTTCCTGTTGTAGCTCAGGAGGACGATCTAGGAGTTTCCTTGGGTGGGTGAAGTGTCATCTCTGCTTTCATCAACAATCAAACAAACATTGCTAGCAGTTATCAGGAATAAATAGAATGGTTACGCATTTTGTGGTCTGTCATGTTAAATCCCTGGTGTGTGTGCACCTGGAATATTATGTGCAGTTCCGATTATGCAGTTTCAGAACGGGGTATAATACAAGGAGAAAAACAGTACAGCAAGAAGAATCGGAGGCAAAATGGCTTGCACGAGACAAGGTCAGCAGAACTGACTTCTTGGCTAGGGGAAAAGACCATTGACAAGAGGTTTGAGAAGCAGGAGTGTGGTAGAAATGATCATAATGGATATTGTGAAGTAGATGATGGGAAACAGTAAGCGCAGCCCAGCACGTGTTTCCCATAGCATGGAGGCCATCCAGTGAAGTACGAAACAAAGTTTATGTGTTGCTTGCCCTGTCCCAGCAGTAGAGAATGGTGATACTATGGCTATTTTCATACTGGCTGGTTATTACAAAGTAAATGTCAAAGTGATTACGGAGCTGGGCTACAGTGTGCTAGCTACTGTAGAAAGGCAAGGTAAATCTTGTGTCTAATGGTTAAATGAGCTAAAATTAATGAGCTAAATGGTTGTAGCCTAACTGCGGATTTGTGGCTGATTTAAGTTAATTTAATTCCTTACTACCAATCACAACTAGTGATCCTGTTGTCCTGTTGGTATCTTACACACACATGCTTGCTGGTACTAGTGCTTGTGCATTCACACAGTAACCTCATCTACATTAATAGATAATCTTTCAGTGTGTTTTGTATTGGCTTCAGTTTCAGCTCCATTCCCACGAGATGCAGCTCATTGTGCAAGAGCTAGCTCAAGGGGAGGGGACAGAAACGTACAGCTGGAAGGAAATAACCTTTCAATAACAGGGTAAACCTATCATGAAACTACACCTTAACAATTCAGTGGGTGTTTTAAATTAGTGAAAGCTAATGCTGGTACCGAAAGAGTAAATCCATCTGTCTTCCTGGTTTTCTGTTCCAAACCCACCCTTGTTCATGCTGTTGGTCTTGCAGTGAACTAGTGTAGCTGACGAAACCCTTTACTTCCAGAGCAGTTGTCAGCTGGATCAGTTCCGTGCTCAGTTTCCTAAATGGCTGCGGAAGCTGTTATGTAGGCATGAAAATGGGGACTGGGAGCTAAGCAGTAGGCAAGAGCTGAGGCAGCCAGCTTCATTCCATGGCACCATCGGTTGGCCCACTTGAAGGCTGAATGTGTTTGCTAAATTACAGACAAAGTATAGGCAATAGCAACAGAATATAGCAAAAGATGAGAATTTAGAAGGAAACCAAGGCAAAGTAAATGCTAGTTAACTAAATATTAAAGGTTGGCAAGAGCTGTCATATAAAATCTGGCCTTTCTGTATAAATATTTGAAAAAATATAGAAATGGTAATCATTATCTCAGTTTAAAATAATGTGCACACAGTAGACTGAGGTTACAGGCAAGATGTTGCTGTTGCTCAGCAGAAATGAGACTGGGGGGGATGGTAATGTCTAGGTATGTATCAAAAATGCAACTGGACAGACAGACAATTTAATACTTGACAGTGTGCAATCAAAATGCTAAAAAGGAACTGTGTGTTTATATACATCTTTTCTTTGTTTCAATGGAAAGTTGAAGTAAAAAATTCCCATACTTTCATATAAACTACAGTATTACCCTCTCAAACCCTACAGTGCCTCGGGACTAGGATTACTTCCTGACCAACAGAGACAACTTCTACTCCATCAACAGCACCAGCAATTTCAGCAATTACTAAGTACCCAGCAACTCACATCAGTAAGTTTTCCAGTTAATTATGATTTATTCTTCTATTATATTCTAAGGCACGGATAAACTCCTCAGCCTAATACAAATTCTAGAAGTGTGTTTAACTTGATATTATGGGTTTTGATAATCTCTTTGTTTTTCAGTTTTGGATGATAGTCATGCTAAATTACAGGATATTACTGGGCTGTGTGTATTGCTGGAAGAATCATTGCCTAGTGCCTTTAGTCCCGTTTTGTCTTGTGTGGACGTGGTGGCTTGTCTCTCTCAGCAGCAGAGTTTGGGACCATGTATGGTCCTAAGCTATTCTCTCATTCCACTAGGACTCTGGCAAAAGATTTTTGGGTACCATCTCGTGAGCTGCCTTTGCTCTGCTTTGCAGTATTCATATAGGCCATTAGGTAACTGGTTTAACTATTTGTATTGTTAATTGTGTAGTTTTAGTACTTTGACAGACAAGGTTTGATATTCTTCTCGGGTATGTTTCTTACGATAGAGGCCTGACAAAGCCAGCAGGCTCAGCTGAGCTTCTGCTGAGCTACATATTTCAGGAAATTTTATAGGCACTTTCCTCCCTTTCCTACAGTCTTGTGGAACTTCATTAGTGTAATCTAAATTAGCTGGGATTAGGTTAAGGTTGCACTGACTGGAGATCTGGATAAGCAGGAACCCAGGGAGGAGCTATTTTTCAGTAACTAATTCTTGAATTTTTTTTTTTCTCTTCCCTTTCCTCATATTACTCAAGGAACAACATCAGGCCCTTTTGTATCAATTAGTGCAGCAACAACATCACCACCACCAACACCATCAGTCTGAAGTACAGCAATTGCAGATTACTGGAGGAGCACAGATACCCATAAATAACTTACTTTCAGGCACACAGGCCTCACCGCTTAATGCAGCTACTACAAACCCATTCCTTACAATTCATGGAGATAACACAGCTCAGAAGGTGACAGTAAGTATATTTCTCACCTCATTTTCAATGTGGTACCTCCATGAGGTAACTAGAAGATAAGCAGTAAGTTATGTGCCTGTATTTGCAACTCAAGGATGCAGAATTTTTTCTTTTCTTTTTCTTGAGCCCTTGGGCTGCACTTATGAGGTTCAGAACTCTGTGACCTTGTAGTCACTTCTACCTAACCTGTCTGCTGCGCATTC